ATCTAACTTCGCGGGGTCCTTACATGCCTGAAAACCCAGATAAAAAATTTTGACAAAGTTTCTGCGTTTTATCGGTTTAGAAAGAGTCCAATGAACTATTGTAAGATGAAGAGTGACGGTGTTTTTCCATGCAGTCGTTCATCGCTTGATTTCTGCGATTTATTGACTTTAAAATGTAACTATAATTAGTCTCGTGGTAGCCTCTGGTTTCTGTTGATGTTCTGGTTACGAGGTAAAAATGGCCAGAAAGCGAATTAAACCGCACCCCTTGTTAACAAATGAGCCAAAACAGCAGTGGCTCGGGTTCACCATCTTGTGAATCTTGGACACCACCAAGGGCTTGTGTCCATCCCCTTGGCAGAGCTCTGGCTACGCCCCGGCCTATATACAAGAGCAAATTAAGTCGGCTACGATGCATGAGGTTTAACTGAATTTCCGTTGGACCCATTTATGCTTAATGCAAGCAGCTTCCCGAAGCCTTGTTTTTGCTTTGGTGTGGTGTAAGTAAAGCTAGTTCGGAAAGAGATACTGTTGCATGCACCCAAAATATGCTTAAAGCAGTAACACATCACTAAGAAGTGGTGCCCATCCATAAACATACAGAAAAGCAGTCAGTCGATAAATTCGCAATCAGTCATGCGGGGGGGGGGGCAGTCGGGCCTGGGCAGTGGTCGCTGACGGTGGACGGGGCCAGGGCTAACATAAGGAATATATGACAAAAGGGTCTTCGTCTTGTCTCTTGGTTTTTTTTGCAGGAGAATGTCCAGTTTTATGGTTGTCGTTACATTGCCTTTAACAGTCAGTATATGAAACTTCTGAGCTTGTTTCCGTCTAAAATGCTGCCACAAATTTTATCCTTGAGAAGAGGCTGCCGAAATCTAATCGCATAAATACTCTGACGCACCATGGGCCATCGATTTGTATTCAAACTTCTGACTAACCTGTGTCCAGGTCGTTTTTTGTTGGCATCTACCCTGTGGAGGCGGGTGCCTCCGCGATAGCTTAGAATGCCTACCCGCTCATGGGTTTCGCTTTCCCAGGGAAAACAACGTTGAAATGGACGGATGAATCGAATAGGCAAGATTGTGCACCAGTGAAGAACAGCCGTGGATGAACGCCTAGCATAGCAACCATGACATTTGCTGATGTCCAAAATGTGTTATGTGAATTAAGAGCGGAAAATAACCTCATTTATCCCCCCCCTGGTCACCAACTTGCTCTCCAGTAAAAGTTTCTGAAGTGTACGCTGAACCTGTTTTACCACTACTTTTTGAACGTTCCTACCTATAGTAATATTGTTGAATCGTGACGGTGGTGACAAACGATTGCCCAACGTTATCAAACCGATGTACTTTAAACCAGCCAGCTTATAATACAGAGCTGCGAAATATTATCTCGTGACAACCCTGCGATTGTTTTGCGGATTGGCCTGACATATAAATGAGTTTGAATGACAAAAACATATAACCTACGAGCAGAAAAGCCAAGGCTAAAAATGACGGTGGGTCTGCTAGTGATTTTGTAGGTACCTCGTGACCCACCATTTGGGACAAATGTTCCGCATTTATTTGGGCCAGTATTCGTACGTTGGCCATATTTCATGGGCTAGGAGGGGGGGAGGGGGGAGGGATCAGAAGAGCATTGGAAGGTGGGCTCAAGCCAGCATTGTGGTGGGCTCGGGCCTCCGAATGTACGTAGAGTGATGCACTTGATATGGGACAAAGATGTGTGCAACGTTTCAAATACCAGCATAACAGGAGTGTCAATTTTGGTAAATTATTTGGGGGAGCCGAACCGGGGGCCCGACAACTTAAACCTGCCCACATTTGTTTCTCACCACATTTGGCCGACTTTAGTTTGATCAAACGCATTATATGATTTTAACCTTCGTTTAATTTATCAAAAATCTTAAATTTAAGCAGTATAGAAATCATGCAAGGATGGATCCAGTGAGGAGCCACTGACGCACGCGTCTCTTCTGATCGGCACGTTAGTGCACCCCTTTAGAGGCCAACTTAGGGCGCTGATGGCGCTCTTCTATGACGGTCGTTGGAGGCGGCACGCGTTTTGGTTGTGGGAGACGGGGACGGGGTTAGCCATGCATGATTTAGTTCATCCCCATATTCCAGAGCTTTCCACTTTAACATCACAAACCATTGCGTGTCCTATGGCGCTAGGTACGTTAAGTTTATTGTATTGTTTATCCGTTCACTTGTTACGAGCTGTATCTAGTGGGTAAAACAGCCATCACTTTTGTTGTAAGAGTGGTCCGAGACACCACTACGCAGAAAGATCAAAGGAGATAGTCTTTGTGTTATAATCACCTCTTGCCCACGTTTTTGTAGTATTCCAACCAAAAACATTGGGGGGCCAAACCAACATGGGAAGAGGGGGGGGGGTAGGGCCCTCACAAAAGAATACAAATGGACACCCGTGCAGCATCATTGATAATATGAAGCGCCATGTCCCAAGACACATGCCTTACGTAGATTATTGATCTCTTTATCAGTTTTTTACCATCATCTCATTAATTTTCTCGCCAGAACCCGTTATTGTAGTTCTGAAGCTGAGACATTCTCTTTTAAGATGATTGCGCGCAAAAGCGAGGCTAAATTTCACAGTAAATTTTCCAATGGCCAGAAATACCATGGCGTATGATATCTTTTAGTCCAAAACAAACGTTTGTTTGAAATTTAAGGGCTTGTTAGCGTCAATTCAGTTAAAGATAAAGCATGCCTTAGCTTTGAATTTTAGCTTCAGAGCTTCAACAACCAATATGGAAAATATGAATTTCGGCTGATGATGATAGGAGGCTGACAACGTTGACAATGTTACGTTTTATGTAAAAGACTTACGCTGATGAACCCCGATTGGTGTGACATAAGTTGACATAATTTTTCCGCCATGACATGGAAATACATGTATTTTGTTCTAGCGAGGTGTGCCGGTACAGGTGTGTTGCCAAATGTATTGATGGTCAGAGTGGGACCTGAACCTGGTGGGCGAGCTATAACCGTAGGGGTATTAAGTACAGGTGTGTTGCCAAATGTAGTGATGGTCAGAGTGGGACCTGAACCTTGTGGGCGAGATATAACCGTAGGGGTATTAAGTACAGGTGTGTTGCCAAATGTAGTGATGGTCAGAGTGGGACCTGAACCTGGTGGGCGAGATATAACCGTAGGGGTATTAATTACAGGTGTGTTGCCAAATGTAGTGATGGTCAGAGTGGGACCTGAACCTGGCGGGCGGGATATAACCGTAGGGGTATTAAGTAGATGAATGTTAAATGTTGCTGAGGTATTATTTGGGCTATGTTTATGCTGTTGCTAGGTGCAAAAGAGGTCCGCATTATTTCTAAGCTGCTTGATTCTTGGCTCCGAGGCCCTGTTAAATTAGCTATGGCATGCCATTCAAACCGGAGATGTGGCCCTGTCGCCATGACCCGAGGCCATGACAAGCCGTTGGTAGTTCAACGTCCAGCGCGTCCATCCATTAGTGGATGCATTATTTGTGCAATGTAACTTGTTGACAAGAACACACGCAAGTGTGCCGGATACTGAAATATCGGTCACATTTTAAGTAAGCGTGAGAAAATATCACTGAACGTGTGTGTCTTCCTACGTATGGAGAGCTGCAGACCCAGGGTGATAGCTGGTGGTTGTGGCGTAACGTGCAAGTAAGCTCTCTGATTGTTTCATAACGCGTCAACATACCTCTAATTCCGGAACTGGAAAAAATGGCACATGGAGGGGACGAGGGGGGCTAAACAGGCGGGTTAAGCCTCAGCTTTATTGGTAGCGAGTAGGCGCTAGTATGCACATGCATGCAAAGTCGCGTACGGGGTGAAAATATTACCCATGAAGGCTGCACCAGCAACCGACTGATGCCGCTCCTTTCCGATGAGTTACCAGCGGACTGCGGCGTCGGCCGAACTGTTGGGCACGGCAGGCCCACGCCCATGGGCCTGCCGTGTACCGTGTTCAAGTGGATATGAGCGTGACCGGCGCGCACCGGATGCGGGGCTGTGCTTCGCGTTTGACCCGGATATAGCGAGCGAAATCGTTTTCGGTGTTATCGCGGCGGACTGGTGCTGCCCTCTGTGCGTCCATCATGCGGGGAGATAGCGTTGCGAACTGCCTCAGCACGGCGGGTGCGCGAAGGGCATTGGGAAGGTCAGTGCTTGGGGTAGAACGCTGGCGGCAGGTCCGTGCACGGGTTCCTCGCAGCGAAGGCAGAGTGCCGTGTCGACGTAGGACGTCATGTTTGGGCTCTTGCTGAGTGCGCTGCGCTGGTTGACTTCAGCTTTCTTCAGCCCGACGACGGTGTGCCTGTCCGCGCTGCTGTCGACTGCCGCGTACCTCTGCCTGTCTAGACACAAAAACTATTGGAAAGACCGCGGCGTCGCCCACCTTCCGTACCGATTTCCGTTTGGCCGCACAGGCTTTGAGTTCTTCAGAGTGCCGTTCGCGGAAGGCGTGAAGGAGCTGCACGAGAAGACAAAGCGGGCAGGGGGATACCTCCGATGCTCGACATGTTTGGCCCCGCTATATCGATATCTGATTTGGATCTGATCAAAGCTATTTTGGTGAAGGACTTTGATCACTTCACCACCGGGCGGCCGGGCTCCTTCCTATCGAAGTGTGGAATATTTTCCAAGATGATGACCAGTCTTTCTGGTCAGGACTGGAAAGATGTGAGGAGTATCTCCACGCCCGCCTTTTCAACTGGCAAGATACGGCAGATGTGCCAGCCTTGCGAGGAGCAGGCCGAATTGCTGGCGGACCAAATGTACAAAGAATCGCAGGATACATGGCGAAATCAACATAAAGGTGACCATGGCGCGGTATACAATGGATAACATCGCCTCTGTGGCTTTCGGACTAGATGCCGACTCCATTCGAAATCCCGACTCTGTCATCGCAGCGAAGGCGGCCAAGCTGACCCAACGCATCTCGGCGGCTCGATTGGTGCTGCTCGTTGTAGCGTTCGCATTACCGGAATTTATCAGCAGACATCTAAACCTTGACAGGATTCTGGCAAACAACGAGGGGACGGAATATTTCATCAGCATGGCCAAGCAGTCCCATGCGCCAGCGGCTGGAGCATCCGGAGCAGCGGCGCAGCGACTACCTGCAGTTGTTGCTCGACACGCGGCGGGAGGATGGTCAACGGCGCTGCCTGACTGATGACGAGATCATCGCCCAGTGTCTGCTCTTCTACTTCGCCGGCTATGACACCACGTCCAATGCGCTCGCCTGGACTGCACGCCTGTTGGCCTTTCATCCGCACCAACAAGAGCGCCTGCAGGCCGAGATCGATGGCAAGCTGATGTCCGAGGAGGACCGCATCACCTTCGACATGGTGAACAGCATGCCGTACCTGGACAACGTGCTGTCCGAGTCCCTGCGACTCTACCCGAACCCGCAGCTCTCACGCTGCTGCACCAAGCCTTACCGCCTTCCTGGCACGGACACCATCGTGCCCCAGAACTGCCTGGTCTACGTGAGCCCGTACGGCATCCAACGGGACCCCGGCCTGTACCCGAACCCGGACGCGTTCGACCCCGACCGCTTCTTGCCCGAGATCAAGGCAGACCGGCACGCGTACGCGTGGCTGTCATTCGGCCAAGGGCCGCGCAACTGCATCGGCATGCGGTTCGCGCTGCTGCAGGCCAAGATGGCGCTGGTGGCGATCCTACGGCGCTACTCTTTCGTCCCCGGAGCCAGGTCGGGCGGCGCCGTGCCGGAGATAGATGCCACACCCGGCCTGCTCAAGGAGAAGGGCGGTACCTGGCTGAAAGTGGTGAGGCGTGGGTAGAAGGCCGGCGACTGCCAGACTGTCAGGCCTCAGTGGAAGTGCGGTGGGCGTGGTGTCTGGATGCGTATTCGCGGGGCAGTTGGTCCTCAGCTGCGCAGGGGTGTTAATGCGAAGTAGCACGGCATGCCAAATCTCTACGTCGGCGCTTGTGCCGATGATTTTCCCCGTTGATCTGCGACGAGCGAGTCCGTGGACCGAGTAAATCTTAGTTGAGTGATGACGTTTTTAACTTGACCGGCCCGGCTTGGTCTGGCTGTCGCGCTGTCTAGAAATTTATGCTTTTGCAGCCGGTGATCACAGCTTGATGCGGTTATCCGCCACGTGTACCAAAATCCTCAAAAGATGTGTTCTGTAATGATAAAGGTATGTTCGTGTATGCAATGTGATGAGCCGTGCTTTTCCTGTGTTGTTTAGATACGGACGAAATGTTGCTTGTCTCCCCTATTTGACCGACGTGACAACAATACAATCCGCTAACTGCACAAGAAGCTGCACGCCACGCACGTGTTGAAAGAGGGCCCAGATGTAGATGATCAGCCATCACAACGACACAACCCTCAAAGGTCAGTTCCTTGAACACACAGGTATTAAATAACTTTACACCTTGCGCACTGGCTGCGGAAAGCACTGCAGATTCTGTAGTGGGCAGCTGTTGTGAACTTGGGACGCCACATTTGTGCCTGCATGCCCGCGCAAGGCGGGTAAGAGCAGCTCAAAAGTGGCACTTTGGCTTGGTCCCAAGCAGGTGACGCCCGCAGAACACGCAGCAGATTGTGCATTCGTCAGCTGTTTGCAACTAGAGGTGCATTGTAGCGTTTGAGATCTTTTTGCATCCATTTGAGCTCTTTTTGCGAGCCCCTTTGTTACGGGCTTTTTTTGGTAAGTGACATCTCTAGTACGCAGCAGCCGACGACTGCAGAACCTGTAGCAGACTTTACAGCCAGCTCCCAAAGTGTGAACGGGCCTTCGCACCACTTGCTGAAAAACATTTGTGTGCGCGACGGTGAGGGTGGGTGTGTGCAACTTAACGTTTGCTTTCGGATGCAGAGTCTGGATTCGCCGATCTTTGTTGCCTTTAAGCATATTTGGCAGTTGCCGGCAGCCAGAGCAGATATGATATTAAACCGACCGTGTTATGTACATGAGGCACTAGTAGTCAAGCTGCATAAACACTTGCAGTCGCGCTCTAAAACTCCACCAGTGGTCCAGGGGGAATGTGGCGTTACCACAATGGGGTCGTTTCAAAACCAGTCGCCCATACAATGCGGCACAGCGCAAACATTTTGTACAATTCACAGTTACAGCAAACAGAAGCCACTCCTAGCTTAACGGTTTCATCAGCTGTAATGGCTAAGTGTCCCAGGGAGATGGGACATTGCTACGCGAGTTGGTTGTCGAGAGCCGCCACATTTTTTGGCGTTGAGTATGGGGCAGTGACGAAAGAAGTCGAAACGATTTGAACGAGCTGGGTGTTTTTTTTTTTGTCCCTTCGATGCAACGAATGCCATGCCATTAAAAAATAGCAACTCTTTTTCATCTAAAGATTTGGTGGTCGGGGCCATTTTTGCGTATGTTGGCAAACATGGTGTGGTTTTAAAGCAGTCAAAAAGCAAATCTCCCACGAAAGCAGCATTAGTTTTGGAAAGCTAAGGCCATGATCTTTTCAAAAATGCTTACTCTAGGCTCTTTGGCTTTGCATTTTGTACCTGTTCATAACAAGAATGTCCCGATAGTTTTTTCTTGATGTTCCCAAGAGGTTGTTCACCTGAGAGAAAATTCTAGCACGAGAGTCCCAGCACATGCTTTACACATTTGTGCAAACCACGGATCAACCGGTCAGATGCCAACAACAATAGTAGATGAACACGCACAGCTAAATGCACAGCGTAAGCGAATGTGAAGTCCAACACTAACCAACGGGATTTAACGATATTTTCTTGCGATCCGAGACATTTGCGGTAACGTGCGGGGAGGAACATATCCTGCCCCAGAGATGTTGAGAACCGCCTGTCCGATTTTGAGGGGTTACACATCATTCAGCTTGTCTCAAGAAGGTCTTCATTTCTAAATCGCGAAATTTAACAAATGAACGCTTGAATCATGGCATACACTTACTTTTGGGCAGCACTTGTGAGGTCACTACCCATGTTTAGCAGCCAACCTCCATGAAACAAACGTATGTCGGCTAGAAATTCACGAATTTTTCTTACGTTTAAAGCATTTACATTTACAAGCATATTACATTTACGTTGCCGCCACGCGGCCTGCTCCCTGCGCGCCAAATTCGTCAATCAATTTATCTCAAGCATATCAAGGTGCTTCCACCCAGCGTGTTTTGCGACATCGGCATGTTGTAGGCCAACGTCACACAATACGCCGAACAGATCATATCACGCACAAACGTTACATGGACGGTGTGCCGATCAGCAAGCGACAGCAGGATGGTGCTGACAACAGCTGACACTGTTGACAGAGCAGATGACGCAGACCAACACTCTTGCCTGACGCGGAGATAAGAATTATCGCGTTCTTCGGGGCCATCTCAGAGTGGTATGGCGATGCTATCTAGGTTAATAATCTACCGCTGTTGCCACCGCTGGTAAAAATCTACCGCTGATCAGTTCATTTTTCATGTAACGTGTGCATGATATGAACTGCTCCTGTAACGTTGGCTTTATCGTTTTGGAAGTATCCTGTTACGTTTGCCTATAACGTGTGGATGTAGTAAATATGAGCATAGCACGTTAACAGGTGTATTCCAGGAACATTGATATAAAATGCTCACATAGAGATTCAACAAACATAAACACAAAGCATTGAAGCATGGAGGCAACAAAAACAAGATGTATTAACACAAGGCTGTAACAAACAGACAAGATATTAAAGCGCCGGCCCGGGGACAAGTAGTGGTAGAGTGTTGTCCCCTAGCTGACAGATGATTGGGCGGACACTTACGTCGTACCTTAAAGCGAAACCAGCTTTTCTTTGTGATGCTGTCATTCAATCATTTATTTCCAGCTGCATTTTTGATACTCAGTACTGAGAAACAGGACGCCGCATCGGAAACACAGGAAGCATGGTAGAAAATGTGAAAATTATCTTACCTGAGCAGTGCGGCCGTATTTATACAAACCAGAGAAATACAGACTAAATAAGAGGGATGAATGGAATGGTCCGCTTGCTGGAACATGAAGCTGGCCACCACATAGGTTAAGACAAGAAACATGGACTCCCTCTGACAGAACCATCGCAATGCTTGGGCGAGGAGGCCGCTGTGTAAAACCGTGGAAGCAATTATCAAAGTTAGAACCGATTTGGTATGGCTTTACGGGAGAAGGCCATATGTTAACGACGCCAACGGGTCACCCGCCGGTTCGCCGGATTCCACGGTAAGCATCCAGGGACGCAATATTTGATCCTGCCGTAGGACGGACAACGTGGTGCCGAGGTGATGTTGCCGGTACTCACGGGTCCGCAGCCGCGTATGTAGCGCCGACCTAGGAGTCGCTGCCGAATCTGTATCATATGGGGCGGGATGTCGCCTCCCGGTGCTTTCGTCATTTCCACGGCCTTCACAGGCAGATGAAGAACACAAGTACTTACCACGCTCATATATATATATATATATATATATATATATATATATATATATATAACTTATATATATATTATATATATAAGTTATCACAGCAATACAGGGTTGTCAATTTTTATAGATTATTGGAGGGGCCAAACGGAAGGCCCAACAACCTTCCTCCTATTTTTTCTCACCGGATTTAGCCCACTTCATTCTGATGAAAGACAACATGTGTTTTTAACTTCTGTATGGCTTATAAAACTAGAGGGCAATCCAACTTTGCCGCTTTTTTCCAACCAGTGCGGCGCAGCCTTTCCAAACGACGTGACCTGAAAGAAACACCAATGAAATTTTGCTTAGAACAGGTGGCTAAGGTTAAGGCCGTTGCACGAGGAGGTCTGGAGTTACTTCGAATATCAATCTGGAGTTTGAGCTTTTTGCCCCAAAGGTCAACGGGTAATTTGACCATTTCCATCTCAGAATTTGACACAAATAGGTTCGGATACGGGCCTTGAGAATGACTTTAACGTTTCCGGTTCTCTTGTTTTGTTTCACCTCAGGTGTCATATTGGCGCTCTCCACAACCGAGCTTGCGCGTCTGAGGCGTGCGAAAATATCCGTGAAATGGATGTCTGCCATATTTTGTAAGACAGATTAATTTCTCGTGGGCTAGCTCTCCCTCAGCATTACAAAGCGTTAACAGACCAACCTATAAAATCAGATTTATCCTGTCAGGGTGCTTACATACGGAAGGTCAGTCAGGCCGTCGAATCACAGAAGACAGTAGGTCATGACACTTACCGTTGAAATGCTAACCATCCTGCTTTTAAGCACAACTGCCTCCCAATCAGAGATGCTTGCAATACTACTGTGCCATCGTCGCTGTGCTGGTCCTGAGGCGGCAATGCCGGTCATGCACAGCAGTGGCCGTCAGCATCACAACTTAGGCACCTAACACAGTGCTTGGTCCTACCTCTGGTCGCGTTGGGGACAGCCAGCTTTGCACCGCTACCGTCGCAATAGGTGTCGTGCGTCAGGCACAATTATGGTATGCACCATAGCCATAAGCTGGTGCCTGAAGCCAGGCGGCTACATAACACTTGTTAAGTATATATTATGGATATAAATATAGATCATGTGTATTTCTTGCAATAAATCGCGGTATGAGAGAGAGAGAGAGAGAGAGAGAGAGAGAGAGAGAGAGAGAGAGAGAGAGAGAGAGAGAGATATATATATATATATATATATATATATATATATATATATATATATATACATATACATATATATATATATATATATATATATATATGTGTGTGTGTGTGTGTGTGTGTGTATATATATACAAATGTATATATACATATGTATATAAAATTAGAATATCGCTGCACTCAATAGTTCCATCGCCAGCCAGTGACCGTATTCACTCCGTGTTCCATCCCAGCTCTGCTGAAAAGGGTTGGCGGCAGCGGGATTCGATCCCTCGCCTGGACATCGCGCGCGTCCATGGGTCTACGCCTTGCCTGTTGGTTCGAAAAGGACTGCTACTGCGCACGCTTTTGATCCCGGAAATTGAAAAACAATTGTTCAAGCTTTATTTTTATGCACTTGTTGTGTATATATGTGTTCGAGATTTAGAAAGCTTTGGCGCTGAAGAAGAGCATTTTAACATGGAAACCTTATGGCTGGTCGTAAAATGTGCGCCGTTGCTGCCATATTTTATACTAGACTTTGGACCCCCGGTTTCGTACATACGTTTCTAGGCAGCCCATGTACACAACGTGAGCAATAATGTTGACAGATTCCGGTTGATTCGTCAAATTTCACCACATTTCCGGCGAACAATCGACTTATTGAAAACGCGTTTATATAACCTTGGTTCGAGTTCGGCT